CACCCATCTACAGAAAAAGACAAAAGCCCATCTCACAGCCATAAATACTGCACTCCCTAGCCAACTACACCAGAGCACAGAGTGCTGTCCTCTTGAAGATGCCGGCCACAGAGACTGACGAAACGTTAGGAAGAACAACCTTCAGAATATGGCCAAAGAGCCCGAAAAACCCACAACAACCAATCTGAGCAGGAACCCTTTCCCCTAAAATACAGCCCAGCCTGGACTGGGAATTTGCCCTTTCACCTCACCTCTCACACAGTGAATCATTCTGCCCATTCCCTTGGTAAAGAATGGCTGTTTCCATCTATGTTTCCCCTTTTGGCTTTAATGAATGTGTCCTCTGAAGATAATGAATCCAATTGTTTTTAAATTTAGAAGCATCCCTCAATTTTTGGAGGGAACAGCTGGAAACCATAGCGGGGAGGGGGGAAGCTTTCCCCTTTTGTTGCAGCAACTACAACAAGGAACCTTTGTGACACCTGAAAGACTAATACATTTCTTGTGTGGCATGAACTATCCTGGATTAGGGGCCACTCAACTAGATTCAAGAAGAAATAATGTCATTGTGGATGCAAAGTATATGTAAAGTTTGCAGTTTTATTGTTGCACAGTTATTTATTGGGATTAAGCCTGAATGGGAGAACCTAGGACTGAGTTTAAATCTCCACTGTAGTGTGGAAACTTACTAGGAGGGATGTAACTAGTAAAAGCACTCCTTAAATATTTTAGTTACCTTGAAAGCTCTATTAGGGTCACAATACATCATTTCCATCAACAGTTTACCTTATGTTAGGGTAAGTGGGCCTATGATTGGGATATTCATATTAACTGCATGGTTCAAAATTCAGCAAAGACAATTTTTCTCCAAAATTTGGAGTGTAAACAGCTTTCCAAATCAGTTCTTGCAAGTGTTTAGATCACATAATTCATTATTAGTAAAGGATGTGTTGTGTGGTCATTTTTCACCACTGAAAGAATAGTGTATAGCTAGCTGGATAGCTCAGTGATTTAGGTACAGAGGTTGGGAGTTCAATTTCCCATTGTGCTCCCTGGGAGAAGAACCAGCCTGTGTAACCATGGCAAGTTGCATAGACTCAAAGCCTTCCCAGGTGAAGGGAATGGTAATGTGTATACCTAGAATATCCTGGAAAAGGTCACCATAAGTAGAACCTGACTCAGTACTGTAGTTCATAATTATTATTATAGAATATTGTGGCTATCACCAGCAATGTAGATTTCAGTCCTGTACTACCTACCTGGGAGTAAGGTCCACCAAACTCAGTAAGATTGACTGTTAGAGACACTGTAAGTTTGCACTATTCATCATTTTTCCAATTAAAATCTGAAAAAAATCCTTCACTATAATAAGTATTTCTTTCCTCCCTGTGCCAGCCATTATTGCCATACAATGATGACAGTAACCGGTGATGAACATGCTATTACGCATTCACAGCTGCAGCAACCCAGACTATTACAATATTACTATTACAGGGTGTTTTTAAGAGCCAATTAAAAACTTGGCTCTTTAAGGCAGGCCTTCCTTCCTGTCAATACTTGACTTTATTTTTATTATAATTTTCTGTTTTGCCATCTTGAGCCTTACTAAGCATTACTAATCACTATTGTTTTAAATTGTTTTTAACTGTTTTAGTTTACAGTGTTTAATGGAACCCGCCCAGAGTAGACTTTGTCTAAAAGGGCGGGATAGAAATCTAATAAATAAATAAATAAATAAATAAATAAATAAATAAATAAATAAATAAA